CTGGGCCGGCCGCGCGCGACAAGCTCAACCCAAGCCAAGCATGCACCAGGTCCTTCCGGAGGTGGTTGGCAGCACCCTTCTTCGGGGGGAGATGCCTGTCTCCAACTCGGTCAGGCAGCCTCACGAGTCCCATGGGGTGAGGAGGAGGAATCATAGAAGAGGAGGAGGAGAGGAGGAGGAGAGAGGAGGAGCCACTGAACAATGCCGAAAGCGCAGAAGAAGGTCTCGCCTGGACCTCAAAACGCCAGGACGCGTGCCAGCCCCACGCGCACAGTACACAGAAACACGCACGCGCGCCAACGCACGCGCCGCACAGAAATGTGCAGCACGTTCACGATCGAGCACCAATCCAGCTGGAGGCGGCCGCCTCTTGCTCGGGCGTCTCATGCTCGAGTTCGAGCGTGGCCACCGAGAAAAGCGGCGGAGTCGGCCGTTTCCCCTTTCTCGGGGTGCAACCCACGATTTACCTGCTCGAGCATCCTCTGCACGTGTCCCCCCGAGCCCCGCTCACCGACCCCGTCCCGTTAACCTCATGCTTCGGAGCGCGGGCTCTGGCACGACCGACTAAAAAGGCGATTCGGCCGAACAGCGTGCGCGCCGCGCCGCAGACATACTCACGCACTCGCGGTCTCTTGGACGTCGTGCCCTGGACCGACAATCTGGGGATCGCACTGTCGGGAGTACGTAGAGGGACTTCAAGGAGAACTAAAAGGAAACCCGCCGCCAGTAAAGTCTGCATCCGATGGCTCCTCCATAGAGGCCTACATTCACGTAGGTCGCAATGTCGAAAGTGAAGGGACTTTACGGAGAACTCAAAGGTGGCCTGCTTCCAGCAAGACCTGCATCCGATGGCTCCTCCAGGGAAGCCTGCAAGCACGTAGGTCGTGGGTTTGCTTTGGCGCTTCTGCCGCTCAGCTGGCGCTGACGGGCGACGGACCGCAGGGGCGGACAACTCCGCAATCCTCTCCGCAGCGAAGGCCAGTGATATTGAAAGGGCCCAGGGACATAAATACACACAAGTCCTAGGATTCCCCACATTATCATATAGTCTCTTGATGTCCGTTCCCCCCCCCAGTTCCTATCTTTCCCCATCATTTCTTAGAAATCGACATTTCTGTGTGTCTGTGTCCGGCCTCACTGCCTGACGGTGCTTCTGGCAGGTGGTCCAGGATGCGGTGACTCTGCCAGATTCGGCCTCTAGCGAGGGCGGGAAGTGACAAGGAGATGGCCTCCTCAGAAGGTTCGGAAGTCCCCCGGCCTTCGGAGAAGTGTTCGATGCCGTCGTCCAAGACAAAAACCTCCTCAAAGGCGCGAGGGCTTCTCAGAACTCCCGGTGACTTCTGAGACGGCCTTCTCCTTCTCATTCCAACCCCTCGCTCGCCGCCGACAGATCTCCAGGCTCCGAACCACGGAGGATCTCGCCTCGCTCGGGCCGAATCTGCAACAGGTTGATCTGGTTCCCGGTGTCGCCGGGAAGCACCGCGGAGCTGAGCATGTCCCAACTCACGCGCCGTAGGGCCAACCGCAGCGCCGGCAACGGTCCACGGGCCGACGCTCAAGCACGACCACTGCGCAAGTGATCAGCATAGCCCTTCAAATCCATCCACGCTCGCTGCAAACGCGACGGCGAGCCGCACAGGTCCCACATCCACCCCGAGTGCTGCTGCAGGCACTGCAAGATGCTGCACGTCGCCTCGAGGAGGGGGTCGGTGTGCCCCTGCTTCTGCCCCGCCGCGCACAGGGTCAGGGAGCCGACGCCGCGGGAGGCCGCGGGAGCTGCCTGCTGCGCTCCGCATCTGGCGCATCCCGCTGTCGCTGACCCACACACACAAGTGAATCGAGACGAATCCCAGGACTCCTGGTGCTTTCACGTCTTTTCGAGGTGTTCGTCTTCCCCCCCCCTTCCTTCCTCTACTTTCCCTTATTTCCCTGGGAGAGTCGACGCTTCCTTGTGTCTGTTGATCGTTTCCCCTCCGGAGCTGCACGCCGCGCCGTGGCCGACCGGCACCGCCGGCGTCCACGGGCGTGGCCGCGCGGGCCTCGGCCGGCTCCGCGCTGCACCGCACGGGGGCGGCCGGTGCCTGCCGTGCAGCTGCTGCAGCCGATCCAGACAACACACACACACACACAACACACAAGCACAGACAGAAGCACGCACAACACGCACATCTACACACAAACAGAACACACACAGACACACACACACACACAAACACACGCACACAAACACGCACACACACATACACACACACACACACACACACTGTGGGAAACAAAGCGTTTAAACACACGCACACACACGAAACACACACTGTGCGCATGTTCCAAAAAAACTGTGTACTTTTTTGTATTTCTTGTTCCACTGCACTCCCCGCACCGCGGCTGGCGCCCCCAAGTCGCGGCCTCGCAGCAGTCGGAGACAGAAGAGCATCCCTCCAGAACACGAGACCCTCCGTCGGCCCAAACAAACAGGACATCCCAGGGTACCCTCCGCGCAGGACGCACAGGAGCATCGCACCAACACGAAGAACACGAGGGCACCCTCCACGAACCGCCCTCGACCTCACACCCTGGTCCGACTGCCGCCGGCGTGCCTCTGGCCATGGACCTTCAACATCCTGGCGGGCCCGCTGCAGTGGCAGGCTCCTCGTCCCGACGAGGTGCCCCCCGACAGCGACAAACCCGCAGGGCCACGCCCCGCGGCCTGGCCGCCTCGCAGAACACCCTCGTGGCCGCCGCAGTCTTGCGGGACCCGCGCGGGCCGGCGCCGACCCGGCCGAGCGCGACGTCCTCCGCCAGGTCGCGGGCGGGGCCTCCCCTCCGCGGCCACCGTGGGCGTGAGGCGAATGCTGCGGGGGAGCAGCAGCGTGGTTCCGCGCGGGCACTGCCCGCCAGGATGCCCTGGCACACCTGCCTCGCACACCGGGAGCGAGCTGCGCGCGACTGCCGGGCGCACCTGCTCGTACAGCATCGCGACTATGTAGGCCAGCCTCATAGGGAACCGCTTGGCCCTGCACTCGCCAAGGATGGCTCGGGCCGTCCCGCAGCACTTCGGCATGTCTAGCAGTACAACGAGCGAGTGGTCGCCCACGGGCTGTGCTATACTTCCCTCGTCAAACTAAGGTCGTGCGCTGCGTCGGTGGAGGACATGCCGCCTACGTGTCCCCAGGTCTCCTCGCCGGCGTTCTGCACCCCCCAACTGGCTGACACTGGGCGGCGGGCTCGACGCCCCACGCGAATGCAGCGGAGGCCAGTCCACAAGAAACCTTCCTCAAGACACCCAATCCTGAGACCCCAGGACGTCCATCGATGTTTGGTGTGGGAACGTCACGCTTTCTATCGCAAAATCATCGAACAACAAGAACCCCAGGGCACCCTGGAGGCAAGCATGGTGTTTCTTGGCATGGGCCTCCACTGTAGGAGAAGAGACGAGCCAGGCGGAGGAAGAGAGAGACAGGAGGGGGAGAAGGGAGGAGAAGGGGGAGAGAATGGGCTCCCAAACGACCACCTGTGACTGCATGGGTGCTGTGGTGTGCGCCCCAGGAGGGCCCTGCAGGCAGGCGAGCTGCCACAGGCGCACCATTGCGCACCACCCAGAACAAGTTCCCCCCCCTGCAACGCCTATGTGCATGAACAGCGACCCCAGAAAAGCTCCGTGCAGGCGTAAGCCAGCCGTGCGTTGAGCTGCGCATTGGCCCAACCGAACTCACACCGTGCGCGCAACCAAAACGCTTGGAAGACAGAGGCTCTGTGCAATGCCTGGGGAGACGCGGGCAGCAGCTAGACCTGCGCAGGGTAGGGGGGGCACTCCGTTGGACACCTCGCGCGGACAGATCCCAGGAGAAACAGGCAAGCGCAGGCAGGGGCAACGAAGAAAGTAGGATACGAGGATGAAAGAGACAGAGGAGACGGGAAGAGTGGAGAAGCGAGGAGGAGACAGTAAGCGGGAGAAAGGAAAAGGGGGGAAAGAGAAGGAACGAGGCGGGTCAAAAAAATAACATATGTTTAGACAGCAGATGCGTTTCTTGCTTCAGCCATCCTGTGGTGTCGGGTCCTCGTTTTGAATAGACAGCGCCCCGGGTCTCTCCGATCCTCCACATCCTCGCTCCTCCTCCCCCTCCTTCCTCATCCCATCCCTGCCAACGACGCGGTCAGGAGCTCCTTCGACAAAACCGCCCCATGCCCGACCTCGAAGACATGACGGGCCACTCGTCAAGAATACCATCGCAAAACACCTCCGTAGCGCAACGCTGTTAGGATAAAGAGACGCTGCAAGGCGGCACACTGCGCAACGCCACGGGAGGGGGGCGCTGATCGCCGCCCGACCATGGAAACGTGCCAGGGAGCTGACCAAGAGCGACCTCATCTGCCTCATGCCACCAAAGACAGGGCACAACGGAGCAGAGATGAACAAAGCATATCCACAAGATCCTCACCATGCAGCGCACACCCACCAGATGCAGGACGGAATGTGATCCACTCGACGTCCACCGTCGCAATGACTACCTGCTGCGTGCCACCAACGAGACCAGCAACCTCGAGGAACCGAGCGAGGCACTACCACTACTCCCCTACCTCACGGACACATCGGTCACAAAAAGAGGCGAGGGCGATACACCTTGGCAGCGATGCCCTCATCTTCGAGTCAAAGAGCTTCCACCTCACCCCCATACACATGCAAGGTTGCACGCAGCCGACGGCGACATCTGCAACCTCATGTTCGGCATCGATAACGAGCTCCTCACACAAATGCGTAAAGCGCCCTGTTGGAGCGAACATGGTTCACCCCACGGAAGCTCGCCAAGGACATCATCCCCCACGTGCCCTACACGCAGCTTTCGCGAAAGGAACGGTCACGCGTATGTACCATCGACTATGCCCATGAAGCCAAAAACGACAAACCAAAGTCCATTCCCACAGCCCGACAGAGATCCACCGCCACCTGACTGCCCGCCACCACCATTCCACCCGCCTGGCTACCAAACATGGACGGATCAAGG